TTCCTTCCTTCCTTCCTTCCTTCCTTCCTTCCTTCCTTTCTTTCCTTTCTTTCTTTCTTTCCTTTCTTTCTTTCTTTCATAGAAGTCTTAGTGTCCCTAAGTTATTCAAATTCTGAGGACTATGAGAGATCTTGGTTGACTGTAGGCACCTACTATAATTCCGTAGTTTTGTCTGGAAATCCTAGAGCTGTTATCTAAGCTTACTTACTGCACAGAGACTTGGGCTTCTGGTTAGGTCTCCAGGTATTTCTTCAGCAGCCTAGTAACTACCAATGGCTGAGACAGTGAGAGACTTTTTGATTCTGTCTTGAGTTGGTCTTGCGTGAGCTTAAACCTATAGGTCTTCCTGGATCAGCTGATCTTGGGGGAAAAAATTATATATAATTATATGCAAATAATTTTTTCAAGTTATTTGGCTCAACTTGTGACATTCTTCCTCTGTCACATGTTTTCTCTTAAGTTTTCTTTAATATCCAGCAATTTGGATACATGTACCTAAAAAAGGCAAAGACTTTTGTCTATTCATGTCCATTCTTATGTAATAGAGGTTTACTGACAAAACTCTGGAGAAATAACATTGCCTTGTTTCCAGTCTTCAGAAACTTTTCTAATCTTCTAAAAAGTCTCCTAAAATAACCTTGAATGACACCAAGGTCAAGAGTTTGAAACATACTGGCCAGCCGCCAAAAAAAAAAAAATCCTTGAATGTTTTTGACACATGTAATTCACTGAAATTCAAGTTTCAGAAGGCCCATCCATGGATTTGAATATCACTAGCTTCTTAATATCTTCTTTTCAAATAAACAGTTTACATTTCCCTATCCATTCACATCATTGGATAGTCTCCAAAACCCTGCAAAGTGAAAGGGGAAAGAATCATCACTATGATCATCATTTTAAAGGAAGGAACCTGAGATTTGGAGAGTGATTGCCTCAAGTTCCTGGAGTCAGGAGTGGGACTGGGTCAAGGGCTGGAGCTCTTCTCCTGTTGCAGTGTACTGCATTATGCATTTGTCACCCAGCATTTATTCTTGGAGGTCCTACTATGTGTCAGTGCCACCCACTCACTAAGTCTTAAACACACATACTTATTTATGTGAAGTATTGTGGTTATGTGCCCAGATTTTGGCATCAAAGGTTCTAAATTTGTATTGCGGCCTCACCAACTGAGTCCCAGTGTCCTTGTTGCTAACCTGGGCTTTTACATAGTAGTTGACTCATAGAGTTGTTGGGAGCACAGTGCACACAGCAAGTACACTGTACATGTTAGCTGTGATTTGGGTGCAAAAATATCAGATGTCCTTTCTACTAATTATTACCTAATACCTACCAGTTTTTCCTTCCTCTTTTTATTCCT